CAGGTCCCGGTGAGAATGGCAACAACACCGACCACCAAGGTGGGCAGGGAAGTGGCAATTCAACCAATGGTACAACGCCACTAGTTTCAGGTGGCAATGCCAACCACAAAATGCAAAATACTGTTTAGTAGCAATGAGTTCTGCACAACATACTGGGAGCGAGACGGGGCCAATTGGGTCATATCCAACGTTTGCTTATATCCAAGGAATTTCCTACGCTAATCAACGCCACGGAAAAAAACTCTTTTTTGTCGAGGCTTATGCTATAAAAGAACATTAAAAAAGCGGGAAGTTCTGAATTATATTTGTTCAGAGAACTGATAATTTTGTATTGCGTTCAATGACATGAAGTTAGTTTCACTAAAAGATAAATAATTATTTTAAGGAAACAAAGAGCGAAATAAGTGTAGAAAATTGCATTTTGTAAATCTGCCAAGATCTTTTCCGTCAAATTGAGTAATAAACGTATAAGGCTGTTATTTGTATATATCCCACCTAAATGCGTATTGCACATGTGAAGGGTTACATAGAAGCAATAGCTTTGAGGATCCTATTAGCAGTAAGTAAGCAGATCGATTGCACAGTCAATATAAATTTGAAGGCAGTTAACATAAAACACATTTCAGTGAGTTATCGCGGGACATTACGAAACAGTTTTCTCAAAGTTGCCGTTGATACTAATAATATTCTTCCCTGCTTTTGTTATTGTAGAAGTAAGCCTAGAGGTAGCCAAATACACTGAAAGATTTTCTAGCTTAAATGCAAAAGTAAGCTCTTTTACCTGCGTTGTTTGAGAAATCAAAAAACTGGCCAACATTTCCAATTCCGATCTCGACTTAATCTTCAAAAAAAATGAAGTACGCAGATATGCGACACCAACATATAAAACTTAAGCTCTTTTTCAAGAGACGACTTGTTATAGAACATTTTATAATTAAACTTAGGCATATTCGTTCGCGACTATTGTTGTGGACGTTCATTTTTTCTCTGCAATGAGTTGAAATATTTGGGGGCTTCTGAAACCATGACACAATCAGTCGGCTGCATGGAAAATAATGTTTAAAAGCTCGTTATTTATGTAAGTTATTTTAGGAAATATCTTATTTTAAATAT